CAAAATTGAAGTTTCTATTATTATAAAAAAAAATATTGAAACAAACCAAACACTTGTGCTTTGTAGCTTCTCATATTCAAAAACAACTTGGCAATGCTATCCCTTAATTTGTAGATCTTCGCAGGCAAATTTGCCTGCATAATTTTCAAATTTTTATTACTTATATATTTTTAGAATTTAATAAATAAAATAGTATAAATTTTTTTTTATTTTAAATGACTAATTATAAATTTTAATAAGAAAATACTATAATTTATTTTACTGCATTAAAAAATAGGTTTAATGAAATATAAAATACATACAATTTTTAATTTATGTGAACTAAAATTTTTCTAAAAAGTTTTACTTAGTAAATGCTTTTAAAATATTAATTGTAGCCATATCTTTATTAAGCTAAAATTATAAAACTGATAATATTTAACAACTTTTGTTAGAAGTATACGTAACGATAATTTTTGACTTATAAAGCAGATATACGTATCACGTACGTACATATGTGTGTAATGCAAAGGTAGATCAGCCAATAATATTAAACTAATAATTAGCTATCAGCTATCGACTATGTACGTACCTACAGTACGTACGTACCTTACAGTTCTAGCGCTTCCCTAACATAGAACAAATCGCTTTATATGTTTGACTTTCTCTAAGGGCGTTTTAATAGATTATATCATATGTAAAAAAACCTACACTAGAGAAAATCTGTTTAAAGTAAAGTATTAATACTTATGAATGTGTACTTAGAATAAAGCTGTATTTACAGCTCAATGCAAGCCAGGAAGAGGTATGTATGAGGGAGAGGACTTATTACTATCGTGAAATAACAGAAAAAGCTAAAAATAAAATATTTTTATTAAAAATTTGCAGATATGAATAGTTCCAACGGAATGTATCAAATCGACCCTTAGGAATTGGTGTTAACCTGATTTCAACTAAGCGGTACGTCTATGCAATGGTTAGTTGTGTATAGGCATTTATTTAATTTTGTCACAAAATATTAGTTTGGAGAATATATCAGGTGTTGCACCATGAATCAATTAAAACAGCAATAGATAAATGAGCGTTGGAATTCAATATCTTTTCAGAATTATAGGCTTTAATTTTTGAGGCGTTGCAAAATTTAAAAGATCCGATTCGCTTAAAGTCAGTGCTTTCAATCCATGTGAATTTATTGTTAAAAGTT